GTTATTACAAGCAAACTTCTTTATGGGTTGGAGACATTGGAACCCACAGAATCAGCGGGAAAACTACTCAATACTTTTCAGTTGAAAGGGTTGCGAAAAATTTAAGTGGCACACTACGTTTATTACCGTAACAACACGAACGACTACGTGTTTAAAAGAGCTATTGAAGTCACGAATGCCCCAAGCGCGGGCATACACAGAAAGATCAAACCCCTCACAGAAGTTCTCGGAGAACGGAGATTACAGCTTTTGGGACATGTGCTACGTCGGGATCGCCAACATCCGTTGCATCAAGCCGCTTTTAAATTCAGTCTGCTGTGCCAAGAGAAGCAGATCAACGGAGAGTAGGCCGTGCGAGAAATTTTTGGACTACCGAGAGTATGGAAAAAGCTTGGATCATAATCGCATCAAACGACATCTCGGTACCGAAGGTGCCTTTCAATAAACATGACCGAGCAATACGAGAGACGATTGTTGATCATGCCTGAAGATTCCAACCTTTCCATTGATCATGCATTTCGGGAAATATTATAAACAATTCGTTGCGAAGCCTCTCTCGGAGAAGCAGCTCGATGTGAAGTGTCTATGTGAAGTAGCTCAATGTGAAGTCTCTCTGTGTGAAACAACTCAGTGTGAATACCTTCTATATGAAGCAAACCATTGTGAAATAGTTATACATGAGCACACATTGCAGCAGTGACGCCGGGACCGTAGTAAACTGACAGGAAGTAGGTTAGCGCCAACGACTTGTTGCTCTTTTGCTGCAAGCTAAAGTAAAAACAAGAGTGAAATAGAGTAGTAGAGTAGTGTAGAGTAAAGCAGAGTTGATTGTAGTCGACCATCATAGTTTGCATACACCTTCGATCAGAGTAGCTGAATTTAGGCTAGGGTAGGGCAGATTGGTAGATAGATCGATATGTACACGTGTGTTTGTGTGTGTGTGTGCCCGTGTGTTTGCTTGTTGTGTCAAGCTGACCATGACTGGTGTATCGCTTTGTCTCGACACCCCTAAGTAGCACACAGGAGAGGCACACCGAGACAGCAAGACAGAGAAAGTATAGCCTCATTCATGTTGTCCTGGAACCGGTGCTGAGCCAAGCCCATCCGACCAAAAAAGGTGGTTGGCGCACCCGTGAGTCATGGGGATAAAGAGATAAAAAATGGTGGTTGGGGTGCACCCGTGAGTCATGGAGATAACGAGATAGAGACAGACGCACAGACAGACCCAGCGAGGCAGACGCACAGATGGACGAACGGACAGACAGCGACAGGCGCCGAGACAAGCAGGGAGGCAAGAGCCAGACAACAAACTGATTGACGTCAGACACAGGCAGAGACAGACATCGAGGCAGACAGTCGCACACACAACGACAGACAAAGACAGACAGCTAGACAGAGCCATGTGGACAAAGGGTGGCAAAGAAAGATGCAGGCAGAAGCGACAATGGCGGAAAGAGCACTCCGACAGACAGCGAGACAGAGGGGCAAAGAGAACAATCAGAGAGAAAGAGGGCGTGCTCGGCCTATGCCCCTAGCCAGCAAAGTCAGAAAGCTATGGAGAGACAAAACACAGAGGCACAGACTCACAGACCCAGACCCGACCCAAATGCAGACCCAGACCCAGACAAAGGCACAGACACTGACGGACACGGACAAGGACACGAACACGAACCCGAACAACCCAGCCAGCCAGCCAGCCAGCAAGCAAACAAGCAAACAACCAAATAACCAAACAACCAAACAAACAACCAACCAAACAACCAAACACTCAACCAACCAAACAACCAAACACTCAACCAACCAAACAACCAAACAAACAACCAAACAAACAACCAAGCAAACAAGCAAGCAAACAAGTACACAAGCAAACAAGCAATCAACCAGACAACCAACCCAACCAAGCAACCAACCAACCCAGCCCAGACACACAAACAGGCAGACCAGGAGCCTCCACATTTCCTTTCAAGCAAGCTTGCCAGGCAGACAGAGCGAGGAGCAAACAAAGGCTGACGAAAGATTAGATGCAACCGCCGGCATGGGAAGCACAGGTAGAGTTTGGTCATCGATTCGCCGCTGGCTCAGGGGGGGGGGGGCTCGACGCTCCATGTGAAGATCAGGAGAAATGGTGACTTATGGCACTACGCAGCCTATACCCCGCATGGGCTTGGGGGTGTCACTTAGCAGCCTGAAAGAGCTTTACACATCAGGAGCCCAGTGAAGGAGATGACCTATCGATTTGTTGGCGCTGATATTTGTCGCATTTCAGTACTTTCGACAGGGGTACTCGGTGGGCAGGTCGAGGGGCAGGGGCAAGCCGGTGACATGCCCTTGCTGAGCTCGTGCTTGCAGATGCTTGCAGGTGGAGATAGATGGCCAAACGATCAAGCTGCAGATCTGGGACACAGCTGGTCAAGAAGCCTTTCGGTCCATCACGAAGCCTGGTGCATGTGAAAGGAACGAAGTCTCGGGCTTGGAGAAAACGGATTCCCTGTAAGAGACTCGCACTTATGCTTCCACGAAGGGTGCCAGATGATCTTGGGGCATCGTGCTTTGGAGGCTCACGGATTCGATTTGAGCTGTGCGTCTTGCTTTGCAGGTTATGCCTTAGCATGCCGTTGGGGGTCCATGATTAGAATTCAAGCTGCGAGCCCTCAAGGACTGCTTGCGACACTGTGGCAGGAAGTTTAACATTGTCCAGGCACAGGCAGCTCTATCTGGAAGCGTCTCCACAGTAGCCAATGGCAGTATGCATGGTGAAAACTGAGGAGGGCGTACTATCGCGGAGCCACAGGCACCTTCATCTGCTGGCATCCAGTGAAGGGGTGTAGCGACAGGTGCTCGTAGTTGGTGAAGACAAGATGGGGAGCATTTGACATCCCCAAGCACGAAAGCGTTACATGAAGAGCTGTGCGTATCGCTTCTCGTATAGGATTTCGGCCCCATAAGGGTCTAGCAACACCGAGGATCCGCAAGCCAATTACAGTGCAGACTCCCGAGACTGGTTCACACCTGGCATGAACGTGCCAAAACCTGCTGTTAAGCACAACCTTGAATGCTACGACTCCAACAAATCATGCAGGATCGTGCCAATCAGGCGGCTCGTTCGCGAAGGATTGCAAGTCAACCACAAGAACAGCTCCTCCGGTGATTGTGCCACCAAGCCGACACCGGAACCAGTGGCTAATGCAGGGGAGCAGGCACCCTGGCCAGAACCTCGCGAGCCACAGCACAGCACGGCAGGCCGAGGTTGCGGGGCCACATCATTGAGCTCACCGGCTGAAGCCATGTGGGTGCGCAATGCGCTTGCCACTGACAGCAGCCTAGCTGGAGAAAGCTGGAGAGTGGTCAACCAAGCCTTCAAGCAGCCACAGGCAGCGAACCCTTAAACCGGCGGAGGGGGCACAAGAAGAGGAAGCCGCGACAAAGGGAAAGAGGCAAGGAGGGAGACAAAGCTTCTGCGGCTTCTCTACAATCAACATTGCCACACGAGGAAGCACAAAACCTTGCTCCACAGGAACACTGAGGGTTTCCGAACCAAGTATCAAGCCCTCAAATCCTTGAGCCGTCCTTAGTCCTGCATCCATATTCTGTCGAGAAATCTACTTAGGGGTGCCCTCTGCTTGAGTGTTGTGAAGACCCACATACACAGAAGTGTGGTGGTGACCTGGTGGTGGCCTAACCGTGGTCTTGAAACAAGACGTCAGCTTCGCGCTAACCTTCCACCTTGGCTGCCACAGGTGCTCTGCTGGTCTACGACATCACGCGCCGGGCGTCCTTCGATCGCCTGGCCGAATGGCTCGTGGACGCGCGACAAAACGCGCAGCCGAGACTGGGCCTGCGAAGCTACATGGGTTGCAGTGAGTTTTGCCTGTTTGAGAGGCGGACCTGTCTTTACACTGAATGGGTGTCAGGGTGAATATCTGCTTCGGACGATTCCGCAAGCTTGCTCCTTATCTTGCCGGTGGTTGCCCTTGTGCCCATCCGAGAGCTGCACGCTGTACCTGTCACGCAGCTGAAAGGGAGGCGGACGGATGGTGAATCCGCGAGAAAGAAAGCTATGAGCCGAAGTTTCGTTTGTTGAACCACTTCAAGCACCTTCGAACCCACAGTTAAGGGAAAGCACTTGATTCTCTTGCGAACTTGGTTGACCCGGCAAGAAGCGACAACCAACGCTACCTCGAGCGAGCGAGGAACATGGTCATAATGCTTATCGGCAACAAGTCAGATCTGGAGCGCCGGGAGGCTCCCCGGAAAAGGCTTAAGCTGGAATGGCTGAGACTGATGCAGGGAGGTGAAGAGGTGTTTTGGCGCGAGTTGTAATGATAACGAGAGAATTGGACCTTTGGTGTTCAAGCAAGCAGACATCGGATCAACCTGCAGAAAGATCCACGTTGGAGCTGTTCTCAAGGCATTTAAGCGGGGAACTTTTTGATTTCGTTCTTACGGACTCTCTTCAGTGGCAGCTCTTGGCGACAAGGTCAGCTACGAAGAGGGGGCGTGGTTTGCACGACAGCTGCATGGCAGTGCTTGAGATTGACGAGTCACGCGGGACATAAATGTCGTTTGTAAGTGCGTGCGTGTGTGTGTGTGTATGTATATGTGGTAGTTGATCTAAAGCTCCTTGAGCCATAATTTATATTAAAGGCCAACTGCATGACATAGCTAAATATGTCTTCGCGAAAGTTCCGCGATTTTGCTGCAAAGGTTACTTTTTTGGAACAGTTATCTGTTTAGCCTGCTTGCCGTACTGTCACTAGTATTCCTACTGTTACAAGTACTATTACTACTGTTACAAGTACTATTACTATTCACAGTTGCTATAAGTATTGCCAATGATATTCCTAGCACATGACGACTACTATGACTATTACTACCACTATGAATCACAATTACTATTACAATTACTATTGCTATTAC